AGGCCAAACTGTTTTTTGCTAGGGTTATATTGTTTAACATTGATTTTCTATGACGATGTATAAGCGAGCAAAAAAAAATACTGAATTTGGTAGACGTATTGGTTCATGAATTAAAGAAAGTATCATAAGAAGCATAGCACAAAACCGATAAACAACATTTCCTTATCACTACGTTTTAAGATGTGGCAGTAGCTTTGATGAACTACTGTAACTGGACGAACTGTAATGTCAGTTATCATTGATTAACAAACTACGTATGTGTGAAATAATGATAAGGCTAATAAAATGTAACATCTATAAACTTGCTGTAATAATGACTTACCGTGATTAACAAATTCTGATAACGTCGTGTAATTGCATGATGATGCCTTTTCTCTTCCTGTTAGCTCTTCAGTTTCTCGAATTTCAGAAAATTGAGAAGACGACTGGAATTACATATAAACATACAAGCAGAAAAGCACATGGATACACATGCACACACACACACACACACACACACACACACACACATTGATGTACAGATTGACGATACGTATTGCATTCAAAAAACAGACCGGACATTATCTTCTATCGCAGATATCTTCTACTTTTGACATTTTCTTCCACTCTTTTATCTTTTTAACAGTGGGACGATTTCCAACATTATCCTTATCATTCTATTTTCATACTTATTTGAAACTTTAATTTATGTTAAGATTTTTTTCTGCGAAATGTTAAAATTTAAACCAATCCTTTGACTCATTTGTGTAACTAATTTACTCAACTCCATTGTTATATAGATAACATTTCTACCTGTAATATTCTTTTCTGTTGAGTTTATCCATAATTAATGAGGCATAAGTTGTTACATTTCGGCATTTTATTTTTCGATGGTAATAATTTGATTTGTCAAAACTATCACATACGTACAAATAACTGGGATATTATTTCAGGTTCGAATATTCCATTTTTTTAATCAAATATTCCATTTCGAATATTCCATTTATATATAATGCAAATTAAAAAAAAAAAAAACAAAATCATACAATTTCCCAACAAGACAGGAAACACCGCATTTCATTGAACGCATCCTTTTTTCCTTTTTTTTTTGATTTTTTTTATGCCATGAATTCAAATTCATCATGCTACTTCTTTTTTCCTTTTTTCCAGAAGTTTGATGCGATTTTTTTCGTTAAAAATAAAAATGATTTTAAATTATTAAAACCACATCTAACAAAACGAAATTTTAATTATCCATGGTTGTCTGTCCTGAAATTTAGAATTCACTTATAGTTCAGCATCACGAACATATATGAATTCAAGTAATTCACAGCTGTTTCATATTTCCAGATTTATACACTGATGCACTGAAGCGTAGATTAAACGACCTGAAATACGGAAGGAAGGATTAATCGTATGCCAAGAAAATAATTTGCTACATAGCTCCATAACCTTCTTCTATCGCATAATTTTACAACAATCTGAAACTCTTTTAGGTCCCTTCAGAGAATAAAAAATGCCTCAAAATTATATATTACACTTAAATCCTTCAAAGCCCAAGAGGAAGAATTCGATTAGGTTTTATAAAGCAAACAAGATCAAATAAAAAACTTGGATGATTTAATCCATTTTACAAAAGTAGCTAAAAAAAAGTATATGATCTATCTACCAATGAATATAATGCAATTTTGGCATATCGACCAAGAAACATACGGCGTCCAAAAAGGAATATGAACGTAACCGTAAGTAATATTAAGCACATATGTGAATAAAAAGTTGCGACAAAAAGCAATTTTCAACAAATAATGAAGTAACAAGTTGATTTTAAAAGTATAAAAACATTGATGCCAGAAAAGCAGTGCCAAATCCTCCTCATTTGTTGGAAACCGGAAAATTCATTTCAAAATCATAAAATCTTTTTCTGATCGTGACAAAAATTAAGTGAATTAATTTTACCTTTTTCGTCTTATTCCTTCATGTCGATTCCTTTAATTTTCTTTGCTACTCACGCTTAGATAATAAACTTCATACTTGGATAACTAAACCTTTATTCTGATAAGTTGGTTAATATAGTAACGAACTCAACAATTACAATATCAGTAGGACAAATTTAATGACGGTATCGACAACAAAAAAACGACAGCCCAAATTATACCCGATATTCCAACCAACAAACCTAGCTTATATACATTTGTAAAATGATTTTGGTACTGAGGATGCTCTGCTTCCCTTAATTGGGAGGGTTCTGCATCGCTTTAAGGTTTCAAGAATTAGCATCTTTATAGAGCGCACATTCCTATAGCGCTCTCTGTTGGCGCAAATGTAAAACGATGAACTTATGTAACACAAGGATGTCTAGCTTTCAATAAAGGATATAGGAAACAAAATTACTCACCAAAGAGAGTATAAGGAGTTGAGATATAAAATATAAAGTTTGATATAAGTTTTAATCATTAGCCTACCATTTAAGGGAAAAGTTAAACCAATTACATTTTCATTACCATAATCACAGTATTCGCAATGATTTACAGGCCTTATTTCCGAAGCAGAAACTGAAAAATTAAACGTATATTATCACTTCCGTCATTAGAATCGTATAAATAATGAAGGATTTAGCGTTTATAAGTTATTCGTAGTGACTGAAACTTCAGTCTTCACTTACTGTAGGTAAGTTAGCAAGTCTAGGTAATGAAAGGTAACTTTAAATAAAAAAGAGCGAATCGAACACTCGTAATAGGCGCAATGCGATGGTTCTTGGCAAGTCTGACTCGCATGTAGTTGAATTTTATATACCTTATAGTATTTAATATAATGAAAGAAAATAGAACATTAAAACGCGGAATCACTTATTTATACTCGTCAAAAGGAAATATTAAAGTATTAAAGTAAAGAGCCACATGTTAGCATTTTCCGGATAACGCAGCAGTAAAAAGAAAAAAAACATGGATTTAGAATGATTCCAAAAAATTAATAGAAACTGTCATTAGGAAATTAATAGAGAATTCTCGATCTCCTTAAATGAAATGGCATGGGAGTTATTATCATGGGTTTACTTAAAATTACTTATGACTAAAGTCAAAAAATAAGAATAGCAATATATACCAAGAATACCAACCTTAAGGACATGGGAAAAAGTTGATAAAATCTCTCATATACGCTAGTACCGTTAAAAAAAATGAAATGGAGGGACACACTCCTTACCTCTTTAAATATTAATACAGCAAAGAAGGCTTAGAAATTTTTAAGCAGATGTTGCACTTGTTGTATCATATGGATGGATTGATAGATCCAAAAGAAACTTTGGATATTCCTAAATGTGATTATATTAATATTAAATCTTTTAAAGCATCATTTATCAGCATTACGCACTTATAATTCAACGATATATTGCAGATATTCAACTCAATCAGATAGTAATCTGCAACAAATTATCTTCAAAATTAAAAAGGAAGAAAAGTTGAAACTCTTTTAATTCTAGATGCTTCTTACACATTAATACATTTGTTTCCAAAAGTCCTCAAACCATTACATAAAATGAATCATTTACTGTTGTCCATATGATTTAAAATTAACTAAAGCATTTAGCTTTTATTACATATATTTTATTACATATACTTTTATTTATTTATTTATTATATATTTTTTTACGTAGTAGTAAGTCAAATTGTAGACTCGTACACTATAAATTTCATGGTTTAAATAAAATTTGAAATGATGAATCATTCCGTTATCATATCATTCATCATACATTACAGTACAGGCGGAAAAAAGTTTTGGAAGTAATAAAAGATATGGAATAAAATGGAAAACAAAGGATGTGATGCTTACATTTGCGCTTGCATTTGTGGATTTGTGGATTTGTGCTTTTGCACTTATCTTTTCCTGTATCTCATTGGACGGAAAACATATTTTCAATAATTAAGAAAAATAATGATAACTATTTATTGACAAGTTAAATACTTGAGTGATTCATCAATTGCAAAGGTAAATAATTGTGATCAGTATCTATGATCATACTGTGATATGACCGTTACCATTAGTCAATAAGGGGAAAAAAATCACCACTGGGTTAATTAGATTTGCTCATGGATTGTTTTCTCAAAAAAAGAAAAAAAAAAGCAAAAATATTCCTCAATTTAGTATGAGAATTTAGATTATTGATATCTAATAAACTGATTAGATATCAAGCAGTGTTATCAATGAAAGTGTACAACAATCGGTTACGATAACTGTAGTCTTTATTCCTGTGAATATCATCAGTGATACTATAATGACTCACCCATCCTATTGGCAGTAAATAGAATAGCTAATATCTATAGGAACGAATTATATATGTTGACCTTTGACGGCTTCACGTGACTCTACTTTATGAGTACGTTTATAATGGAGTTGTAACAATGTAACACAAAAGCCACTCTTATTCACTGGCTCTTCTCACCGATCTCGTCTCTCGCCTCTCTACACATCATGCAAAATCTTATCAATCTTTGTCTTTCTCTTAAAATTTCCTTTCCGTTTTTTTGTTAATAATCTCACCCCACAATAATAGTGTTATTTAATAAATCTTCTATTAGCACTCAAATACTACGCTAATTTATCAATCCCATTAATTGCTGCTACATCTCAAACAAATGTGCTATTTTCGACTGTTTTGTCTATTTCCCAGGAATATCTCTTCTAATCCATTAGTCTTTGGATATCTCTCCAAACTGTACTACTCCCCATCCATCGCAAGAACAAACAGTGGACAATGGTCATAACGCTGGTGATTATTGACGAGAAACCGAAACTGAAGTCGGCTGAAATTGAAACTTCAGCTTTGTGATAATTTCACTTCTCCCCTCTATCTTCCTGTCATTCTTCCTCTCCTCCTCTCTCCCTATACATACCATGCACTTTCATCTTTCTTTATCTTTCTCTTCCCGCACCCACACTTTTCATCATACACTCCATTCAACGAATAGGTATTCAACGGATGTGTTAGGCAGAGGCGGGGGGAGACAGACGGACGGGACGGGGGAATGACGGGGGAGCAGTGTGCAATAGAAGTGGTCGCTCGAAGTATTACTGGTACTATTCGTATCCGACCATTATTCGTCAATATTGGTGGTGTTTATCGATTGAATGTTAATTTGAGGTTGTGTTATGTGGTTTATCCCGCTGCTGCTCTCAGTGAAATATACCGCGGTGTTAGCATGAATGACGCAAGAACTTTTCATTTACAATTTAGTTGAGGAAGCGGGTAAAAGTTTTTACAATTTTTATGGGACTTCAGAGGTAAACTTTTGCGTCCTTTCAGTGCAATCTGATAAAATCAGCTCATCCCTTAACTTAGCCATACATTTATTAGATCTCATTGATATACAACATATGGGAAACTTACTTTTATCATATTGTAGCGACCAATGGCAGTCAACTAAAAAATTTTAATTAAAAGTGGAACTTATGGGTCAGTAGGCGGATATGTTAAACAGTGTATAAAGATGGATAAATGATGTTAAAATACTATAGCGGCTAACTTAACACATTGCCAATTGGTAGATACAGTTTATCTTTATTTATAAGGAACTGAATATATTAAGCATGTGTAACGGGTGAATTTTTGAGATTTTTTCACTTCCTACTTGCTACTATAAGTGGCTGCTGAAGCATTCGCTTATTGTGTTCTTTGAAGTTTCCTTCTCTACATGATAATTTTTCAGGATGCAGAGATTTCAAATATCAAAAAAGCTTACCACCAATTGAAGATGGAATGGCATTCAGATTAAATAATTCAGATGGAAAAGCAGAAGACCAGTTCAGAAAAATTTCATTTTCATTCTGTTTCAGCATATATTTCATGTTTCATTTTTTCAATTCTTTAATTATATAACCTAAACGAATATTTTCTGCGGATAGATTTTCTTTCTTGTTCGCTGCCATTTACGAGGTTTTGAAATCGCATAGTTTAACGAAGAATACGAATATTTTAGAAAACGGTCTTTCCGACTGGCGACGGCTTGTTTTTTACACCAGCAGACTTTTTCTACATTTGTCAAAAGCCATTCCGGAGACCTCGCGCGGTATACATTCTTTTTCAGGTAACTTTTTATGAAGGGTTATTTAAACAGTCATACTTTTGTTCTACTTTGCAGTCAAGTTCTGAGGATTGTTATAACATTAATTAGCTAAATGTTCAGTTTGTCATCCATCCCAGCTGGATAATATCTTTGGTTTTTTTCAAACGTGCTCGAAAATTATCTGGTTTGAAGGAGCGGTCATACATATTAATATATTCGACTGGTCATTATTTTATGTTATGGGGTGCTTACATAGATAAGCATTGCCCGTTGTGTAGGTACAATGATATCATTGTTCATTATGTAGATACTGAGACGTTTTCATGTTATGCTGTCCATTGTTAGCTTATATCTTTTTATTGCTTTAATTTTACAAGATTTTGTCCCCTGTCTGTTGAGTATTGTGAAATTTTATTTGAACATAGCTTTAATTTCGGTAATCCGACAGAAAATTTGCATTATGACTTTCGGAGTTTTTCCGACAGCACACGATTACAGGGAAAAGGATGGCGAACTGCGTTAAAGTAGTAGATGATCATTTGTCAGGGGATTTTGGTGATCAAGATAGGGTAATTTGCTTGAGTCTTGTAAATGCTATTGTTACACTATAGATACTACAATGATATATGATGGACAATAAAAGCATTCACCAGTTCCCACAAATCAAACACAATGCTACCTTCTCATACCTCTGGAAACAGTTTTCACAAATTTCTGCTACTGTTATTACCTCTTAATCACCGCTTCTGTTATCTGAATAACGGGAATGAGGATGCCATGATAGGGTGATTCTGTCGGACTGAATACATTTGTCGTGAAAACGAAACCTAAAATAAATTCATTCACATTGTAAATTAATGCTAATGATACTATGAATCACTTTTAACATATTTACATTCCTTAAAATTGTTTCCCACACTCTTTTGTTGTTATCTTATCTAACCAATTTGCATTTTTATGTTTGAACCCTTAATTTCCCATGTCAATCGTTCTGTTTAATCTTGTTATAATGCTTGTACCATATCCGGTGTGTTTCCGATACTTGAATTCTTCATGTAAACCACTCCCATTTCTTAACATATATAATCTCGGTCCCAAATCCGGGGAGGCTTTTTGCTGCTCTCCTCTTCGAAGGTTATCAGCTTCTTCTTCTGTTTATTCTTTGCTTCTACGGACATTGGCGGATTTTTATCAATCTCTTATCACGATAAAGATTAATATCCCTTACCGTTGCGTATTCACAAGACAAATCGACCTCCGAACAAACGCTTTCGCACTAAGCGCTTCATT